TGGCTTGCCCAGGGTCTGAGGCCAGATTTGAACTCAGTTCTGCCTACTCCAGGTGCAGCATTCTATCTGCTGTGCCACTTCACTAGTTAATGGCCACAGCTGCCATCCTTTCCTTGCCCACTCAGGTCTTCCATCCTTCTCGTTCTGCTGAGATCATCGTATCCCAGGACTTGTAAACATACTGCATCGCCAAGACAAGATCCGTGTTCAATGGAGAGCCTCTACTGTTGCTGGCAACCACACGGTTTCTCACGTGTCATCCATCCTAATCTCCATATGCCTCACTCTGGATCCAGTTCATTATCCATCTGCAATACCTGTCCAAGTCAGATGTACTGATGGACTACTTCCCCAGCCAGGCACCCAACTACTTGTCATAATCTGAGCAATGGGCATTTTTACCCATTTCATTTAACTGTTAAGGATGGTTGGACCAATGTTTACCATTAATAGAGATTTTTCTAAGGGGGCTCAAAAAGCCTCAGATGTATTCTGTTGGCCATGGTCTTCTGATGATTCATTAGAGTATAGAGGGCTTATCATGCTACCCCGTTATTGGCATCAGTGGAGGCTTGGCTCTTCAGCAGTACAATGGAAACCAGGCAGTGAGGGTTAGTAACTGTGATGAGCTGAAAGTTGGCCCATCCTTATGCAGGCATGATGAGGGAGAAGCAATGAGAATAACACTCTCATAAAATCTCAGAGCAGGAAAGAACCTGAGAGATCATTGCTCTAGTGTCCTCATCTTACCGACTTTAGGTACATGTGTGTGCGTATGTGCATGTGCATGCATGTGTGTGCATGCATTGTGTTCATGCAAGTGTGTGCATCTGTATGTGCTGTCTTGGGACCAGCCTAGCTTTGTCACCAGAAGAGTGTGGTGCCTTCCAGGTGATTTGATTTTTTTTAACCATAGCATCTTACGAAATAAGGCTCAAAACACAGATGGTTCCCTGTTCTATGTGGCTTTTTCCCATTTCTGTTTTAATCAATGAACAAACATTTTAAAGATTTTCTATGTATCCGACACTGTGTGAAATGCTAGGGGTAGAAATACAAAGAAGAAACAGGTGTTGGTGAAAAGGTGTAAACAAGTCTTTAGATTGGCAATCAATACAAATTAAATGCCAATCTCTGTGAATCTCACTGCTGGTCTCTATGTGCCATCCTATGAACTGACACACTACAGGAGACAACTGAACCTCATCTCTTGTCATTATAGATAGCTTTGAGTGTTTGGAGGGCTAGAACATGGAAGAAATAGGAGGCTTGTTCTCCAGGGTCCCTAGAACCAGGAACAGTGGGAGGAAGTCACAGATAGCTAGATTGCTACTTGATACCAGGAACGCTTCCTAACCACTGCCGAATGGGCTGACTCCCTCCAGGGAGATCTGCAAGCAGAGGCTGGACAATCACTCAGCAGATATTTGTTACAGTAGGGATTTCTTTAGCATATGGATTGGCCATTGAGGTCCCTTCATTGTCTGTGATTCTATGGGATTCTTAATAGAAACAAAATTGGAAGGTTTAAAAATATGACAGTGAAACGAAAGGAAAGTTCATAGAAAGCCCTGCCTGGAAGAGGAGGAAAGGAGTTGGTTTTGCTTATCATCCAAGGGAAGTAAGAAGCATCCCTTAACAGGACACTTGGCCATCTCCCCACACAGAGACGCAGAGACAACTTGGAAAGTAATTGAATTTCTATACCAACTCCCATCAGAGAGGATAGAGATGTCACTCATTCTGGGGGGATGTTGGAAAGAGCCTCCAAATTAAATCAGCTAGGACTTTGATGAGAGGTGACCTATTGTAATGTTTGGAGGGTGGGCCTGAGAGTCTTGCCTGTGATACGGACTGACCATGTGACCCTGGGCTGGTTACTTAACCCCTCAGCCCTCCAGGAATCTCTCTGAGACTAAAAGGTGCCAGTCACCATTGCATTGAGGCCAGGTCTTTTTAACTCCATAGGTACAGTCTTTAAAAAAAATAAAGAAACCTACCTAGCCATCATCCAGAACAGCCCACCAAGCAAGTCTTGGTTTTGTTCTCTGTTCCATCACTGAGCTACAAGTCAGTCTCCAGCTGTGAAACTGTCATTGACCTGAAGCCCTCCATGCCCCCTGGAGCAGGGCTACAATTAGGAAGAGGGATAAAGGACTGTTGTTCTCTCTGGAAGCTTAGAGGCAGGACCCTGGCAGCTGGGTGGGCAATGACTAAGACCCAAAGGAAAGATACCCTTGATTTCAAAGCCACCCTATCAATTCAAAGCCACCTTTTGTAGGTTAGAAGAGCCCAAAGGAGCCCAGAGAAGTTGTGATGTGCCCATAGCCACACAGCTAGTCAAGGTTAGAAGGTAATGGTGGGACAATGGCTGTTTGGCCATGTCACAGAAAGACCACTGGATTCCAGGTCAAAAGACCTCGATTCTGGGCTTGCCACTTAAATGTCCATCCCTCCCCCTGGTTTTCGGGTTCCCCATCTGTAAAATGAAGAGGTCGAGCTGGATGATTTCAAAGGTCCTTTCCAATTACCATCCAAGCTTAGTGAGGCTTTCTGGGGCTATGACGTCGGACTTATCAGATACATCTGTCTGTACATGTCTTATCATCCTATTCTATTGTAAGCTTCATGAAACCAGGGACTGCTTCTTCTTTAAACTTTGAATCAGTCCTCACAGTGCCCTTGGGGAGCTGGAAAGCCCAGTGGAGCAGACTAGAGGAATCTTTATACCCATCCCAGCCTGCTCTCTGCCCAGAGATCCCCTGCTCCTTGATGTTCCTGGCTCACATCACCTTCTGCTTTTTCTCCTGGCTGAAGGCTAGCCTCCAATTCTCCCTCCATGGGAAGGAAGCCCAGAGTGTCCCTTCTACCCCTCTGCTCTTACCCGGAGACCTGCCTTCCCAGAGGTTATGAATCCATGACCCTCCCTCCTCCTACCAGCCCCTGGCCCATTCCCTTTGCAGAATGGACGTGGCTGCTTACAGAGCTTTGACGAGCGGGGAGGAGCCAGCTGTAATCCTTGCGGTAAAATGGATGACCACCAGGCCTCACATGTGCCTTACGATTGCACCCTGAGGACTCTCTAGCCTTGCCCTCTGCCCTGATATTGATTTCGCCTATTTGTTGTCCCAAATTAGAATGTGAGCATCTTGAAAGCTGAAACTACCTCACGTTTCTATTTGTGTCTCTAGCCAAGCACAGTGCTTGGACCATAGAAAGCATTTCATAAGTTGTTTTCCATCCATCCATCCATCCATTCATTCATTCACTGTTGAACTCGCTAGGCTTGGAGATCGGCCACCTAAATCCATCCCCAGGTGGGTATTTGAAGCTGTGCCAGGGCTTGGGTTCCCCTGGAATAGTCTTTGGGAATCCAGGGTCGCCCTCAGGTCCTGGTGAGGTATTGAAAGAAGATGTTAATGACGAATAGTTTTATGTGAGGAAAACTAGAGGCAATACAAGGTACTAGATTTGGAGCTGGAAAGGACCTCAGTGCTCATTTCCTCCAAACTTCTCATTTTGTAGATGAGAAAACTGGGGCCCAGAAGAGGGATAGTCGCTTGCCTAAGATCACATTGCTAATAAATGCCAAAGCTGGACTTGAATCCAAGACCTAAAACTCTAAATTCCACATCATTGCCAACACACCAAGCGGTTTTTCTCTGTGTGTGTATGTGTGCCTAGGTATTTTTTTTCATAAAGATCAGATCAGAAGCATACCAGTCCAATACACCAAGGAGTGGCTATTTGTTTGAACAGAAACTGTTTTTGAAAATTAAGCTAGTTTGAATATTTCCCTACCCAAAGTTGTTTGTGATAGCAATCTCAAAGAATGTTGAACAAATGGTGACATTTCCTTCCATTACTAATGAGGTGGGGCTCAGTATGGGATCCGCAAGCTGTGGTTACTCTTTCCAAAATACTTCTTGGTTCATGTGTCCCCTCCACCACTCTCCCAGCCCCTTTCTTTTAAGAGTTTTTACCATCTTCTCTCTACCTGAACATTCGCCAGTTAATACAATATGGAGAACAAAGGGGATCATGACCAAAGCAAGTAAAACCAAAGGTGGTTATGATGTCATCCCCTGCAGGGCCTCCCTCCCCCACCGTGGCTCCGGCTCTTCCTGTGGCGGGTAGAGCCCTTCTCAGTCTACGTGTCCAACCTCATGACTTACTGCGCCCTTTCCTTACTCTGTAGTACAGTTAATGTGCTTTCTTATTGTTCCTTTGGACGAGGCTCTGTCTTTGCATTGGTCGGCTGACCCTCAGGTCTGAAGCATCCTTCCCCCTCCTGCTCTCTCTGTCTCCCTTGGAATCCCTAGCTTGCTCCAAGACACCGTTCAGGCACCACCTTCTATGTGAAACCAAAGCTCTCTTTAGCTCCCCTACTATTAGTAATACCCCAATATTGAGGAAATACGTTTCTTCAAATCACCCCAAAAACCCAAGCAGACCCAAGGGGTAAGCCAGGGTCTTACTTTTCCCACTAACAATTCTTTAAATGACTTGCATGATTCTTTCCTTGAAAAACATCTACATCAAATATCTGTTAAGTACCTACTATGTGCCAGGTACCATGTTAGGCACTGGGCATACACAGATGAAAATGAAATAGCCTTTGCCTATAAGGGATTTACATTCTATTGGTGAAAAGATGTATGTGTATATTATATACATATGTGTATGTGTGTGTGTGTGTGTACACATGCATATATTTCTATAAACACACATATACATACAACTACATATCTTATACCCAGTAGAACATAAATTTCTTATAGGCAAAGGCTGTTTAATTTTCATCTGTGTAAGCCCAGGGCCTAGCGTGGTACCTAGCATCTAATAGCTACTTAATACATGTTTGTTCATTGGTTGATTGAACTATCTTAATAAAGACATGTCTATTACTCAAGTGTATAGGTCTAGGGAATGTATCACACCTGGAAAAAGGGATGTGATAAGTGGATCATTGATCGGTCTTTTCTCTTATTTTTACACAGGATTGAAAAAACGTACAAGGAAGGCCTTTGGAATACGGAAGAAAGAAAAGGACACTGATTCCACGTATGTACCTCAAATGGGGGCACTGGAAACATTGACCTCCCCATAGATTCCCATCTCAACAGACAGTTGGATATCATGACCTCTTTGAAAAGATGGAACCCAGCCAGGTTTTCTAGGACTACCATCTTATTAAGAGTAGCCTCTGTTTGGATGGGTCTATCATAGTTGCTAACAAGTGTTCTTGTATCAAATTGACAAATGGTTGGATTATTCATGACTCCATGGTGCTCAGGAAAGGCAGCATGGAGTCAGGGAAGGAGATCTGGCCTCAGATTCAGGAAGTGGTTCTGGATTCAAGTCCTGCCTTTGATCTATCCTCTCTCTGTAACCCCAGGCAAGGGGCTTCCTCTGTTGGCATGAGTTATCTCTCTAACAGCATACGTAGCAGAGCAGAAAATGATGTACACTGGTGGAGGGAGATTCCTCCCTGGGAGTTCCCTAAGAAGGAGAAGTCAAAGGTACAAACCAAAGGGAAGAAAAATTCCCACAAGACTCTTACTATATCTTTCTTCCTCAAAATGTGTTAATGAATCATGTCAATGTCCCTAGGAGGGAAGACAGGCAGGCAGGATTATTACTTCATATATTCTTTTCAGCCTTCTGGTAGCTCATATTGTAAATGATCAGTAAACTGTGGAATCTAATTCCCTGGAAGGCTTCCACAATGGGACTGGCAATCTTGTGTCTAGTTAGGGAAGCCAGGGGAATGGACTCTGGTCATCCGCTCCAGCCCTGATTATTCCTGACTGTCTCCCACACTTGCCATTGTTAAGAGAAACAACTAATAATGATAACAATAACAATAAATCAGAATTAGGAAGAAGATAGGAAGTATAAATGAGGCATCTAGGTTCTACTAAATAGGTATGTGTCCATTAATGTAGGAAACTAATGTGTAAGTGCTTTGAGAAACTTGCCTGGGAGCCAGTCATGAAAACCTTCAGGGATCACATTCTGAAAGGAACTCTCAATGAGTCTATGATTTAATGACTTACTCTAATTACATGGTTCCTTAGAACAGAGCCAGAACTAAAGCTGGGTTAGTGAAGCTTTGTCCCAGGGTGCCAGCATCTGAGGCAAGCGTCCTCTCTGCTGTTGACCTCCAGTCTGATGTCACTGCATTTTCAAGCCCCTCTGCCACCCTGCTTCTTGCTTCATTACTGCCTCTGCTCTCTCCTCTTTCTAGTCTACCATCCCCAGAATCCTGGAGTCTTGGCACCCCTTTCTCAGGCTCTGCCATCCCCCACTACCTTCCCCACTTTTCTGCCACTTCCTAATCCAACTCATCCTAGAATCTTGGAGTCAGAGCCAATCAACCATGACGAAGGGGTACCTGAGACAGAGCACTCTCAACCCCCATGTTTGCCATTCTAGTCTGGAGCCATCTTAGCATGGTATCTAGTTAGTGGTTCTGAGAGCAGGACCAGAAAAAAAAGTTAGAGCTTTTTTTGTCATGGGTGGAAATAAAATTGAATTAGTAAGGGTATTCAAAATAATAACACTAACAACAATACTAATAATAGCTAGCATTTATATAGCATATTAAGGTTTTCAAAGCATTTTACATATGCTGTCTCATTTGATTCTCACAAGCCTGGGAGATAAATGTTGTTTTTATCCTCATTTTACAGTTAAGGAAACTGAGGCAAACAGAGATCAAGTGACTTGCCCAGAGTCACACAGCTGAAGACCAAATTTGAACTCAGGTCTTCTTGACTTCAGTTCCAGTGCTCTGTCTGCTGTACTACCAGCCTCCCCTAAATTACCTTCATTGGCTCCCCATTGCCCGAAGGAAATCCAAACTCTCTAGTCTAGCATTCAGGGTTGTCTAGAATCTGCCTCTAATCTTCTTTTCCATCCTTATATACAAGTTACATGATTAGTAGAATTATATGATTATATATATATGACTAGATATAACATAACTCAGCTAGACTGATCTATTTGCCAGTCCTCAGATATGTCCTATATTTAACCATCATCATCTTCACTATCTCTCCCATTTCTATAAAGCCATAGGGTTTATAGGTCACTTTCCTCATTAACTCTGTAAGATAGACAGTACAAGCATTATTAACTCCATTTTACAGATGAAAATGAAGGCTAGAGACTTGCTTCCGGTCACATGGAACTGGAGGTAGAACCCCAACCTAGGTCGCCTGGAGGAAGCAGCAGGTTCAAATCCCAGCTCTTCTAGGTCACCTGGGTGACCTTGGGCAAATCACTTCCTTTCCCTGGGCCTCAGTTTCCCCACCTGTAAAATGAGGGGGTTGGACTCTAGAGGACCCTTGAGATCCATTCTAGTTCTGAGTCCCGTGGCTCTTTTGATCACTCTCCAGTGTGTGATCATCAGGGATCTGGACAGTTGGACAAGACGGAGTGAGTGCAGAGAGGTCCAAGCTGCGGGTTTGGCATTGCTCTCTCCCTCCCCCACTCTCTCCCTCCCCCACCCCCAACCATGGTAGCTCAAATTACAACAAATGTAGATTGTTCTTTTTGCTTTGGGGCCAATTGGATCTGTTTTAAAATGGATGATAGTGATTCCTCCTAAACTGAGGCTAGATGACCATCCTCATCTGAAAAAGGAAGAGATTAATGGAGAGAGGCCAGAAGAGGGCCTTGAGTGTGTGACGTGAGGGGGCCAACTGAAGGAACTAAGTTTGGTGAGAAACCACTAAGAGGGAGGCAAACTATAGTTTGGTAAGAAGAAGACTTGGGAGAGAGATAACAACTGTCTTCAAGTATTTGAATTTGAAAGTATTTGAATGCTTTTCACGAGGCAGAAAAAAATTGACTTATACTTCCTAATTTAAGGGAACAGAATGAGGAACTATGGGTGGGTACTTCAGAGAGACACATTCAGGATTGATGTCAGCAAAAACTTCCTAGCCATGAGAGCTGTCCCAAAGGGAATGAGGCTGCCTTGTCAAGGAAGAGGTCTTGAATCACATGATGGTGTCTCACATTAAAAATTCATTTCTGGGCATAGGTTGGACTAGATTCCAATTCTGAAACCTTTTGTGATATATACTATCAGCGATCTCATTCAAATCTGGGATTCTTTGATTCTAAATGTTCATTGGACCCTTGGGTCATGACAATGGGATCTTCATTGCTTAATTTCTCATTTCCCTCAGAAGGCCAAAGGATCTTAGCATCATAGAACTAGAACTGAGAGAGACCTTAGAGGGTACCATCTAGTCCCATTACCTCATTTTATAGATAAGGAAAGTGTCCCAGCCAAGTTAAATGACTTACATGAGACCCACGGGTTTCTTCCATATCCCTTTATGTGAACACATGGAAACCCTAACATGGTCCATCTCTAGGGAGAGAGTCTAAAAGACGAGGCAACAACCCCACACCACCCTCATCTGTCACGAGCTCCTGCCTCCTGCTCAGATATCCCATTGTTCTCCTTATAACGAAGCCCAAGAACCTCCAGCTTCCCAAAGCCCAGTTACATCCATCAACTAACCATTGTGCTTTGTGGAGATGGAGTCTGCAGCTTGGGTCATTGTCACTGCTGATTCAGGCTATCTTCAGGGCTATGGCAACTGGTGAATGGGTTGCTAAGCAACACTCTGGAGGACCAGCACATCGAAGCTAACCAAGGAGAAGCAGCTTGGTGGCACCTGGGCCCCCTGGTCTGGTCGTCCTTCTAACAGCTGAGGGAGGGAGTGTGAAGGATGAGAAATAAAGGGAAGATGGGCAGAGAGCCAGGTTGGACATATGAAGGCTGAGTAGAAATGGCAAATTCTTGAAAGCAGAGGAAGTTGTACATTTTAAAACATGGAGGTGAATAAGTATCATGGCAGAGATTTAGTTATGAAAGAGACCCAACCACATTCAGTCCAATAAGCATTTGTTAAGCTCCTATGTTTAAAGCCTTTCCCAACCAGGCTATGACCTCTAAAATACATTATTCTACTCCATATACTTCATACACTCTACTATCCAACCAACCTAGATTTCTTACTATACTGACTCATAATTTCCCATCTTTGCTCTCCATGCCTTTGTAGGGGCTCTCCTTTCTGCCTGGAATGCACTCCATCTTCTCCTCTGCCTCTTAGAATCCCCTAGTTGCCTTTGAAGCTTAGCTCTAAGGTTACCTGCGATGTGAAGCCTTCCTTCATGCCCTCAGCTGACAGTCCGTTCCCATCAAAATTATTTTGCATTTATTATGAATATGTAATGGGAGACCACCAAGGAAGGCCTGGGCTTTAGAACATGTATCACGTGTTCTGCCTGGTATCGACCCATGCAGAGGCTTAAATGAGCTTGTTTCTGCCCCAGTTGGCCAACTGGGGCCAATGGTCAAAGAATACTGACCAGTCCTTTCATTATGTATACATTTTGATATTACATGTTGTCTCTCCCAATAGAACGTAAGCATCTTGAGGACATGAACTTTCTTGTTTTTCTCGTATACTCAGTACCTAACACAGTGTCTGGCAGATTTATAAGCATATGTTGCTTGATTATTATGTGCCATATTCTAAAGATACAAAGACAGAATGATAAATAGTCCCTGCCCTCAAGGAGTTTATATTCAATATGGACAAAACAATGTGCACAGAAAAGCCTATGGAAGATAATATAAAATGATTTGGGATAGGATGGGAACAAGAAAGGTATCTTTGTGTAGGAGATGGGAGTTGATTTAAATATTGAAGGAAACTAGGGGACCTAAGGGAGAAAGTGCATCTGGGCATGATTGGCAGCCTAGGCAAAGGCCTGGAGGTGGGAGATGAGCAAGCACTAAGAATCTACTGTAAGAAGGAGACTTTTAAAAAATCAATGGCTATGAGAGTGAGTTGAGAAGTAGATATAGGGCTTCCTCCCCCACCCCCCACCCCCCTCCCCCTGCCCTGAGAGCTTAGGCAGGGTGGTAGAAAGAATGATGGATTGAAAGGATTGGAGCTTGAGTCCCAGCCTTACCTCTAGCTTGCTGTGAGTGACTTTAGGCCAGTCCTGCAAAAGGAAGAGTGGCACTAGAAGACATCTAAGATCCCTTCCCTGACATTCAATGATTTTACGATCAATTTGTTCTTCTGACCCCACTCAAGATCAGGTTCAGTTTCAGGATTGTAGACTCCTTAACAACGAAGGAAGGTGCTAAATGAAGGTCCACCACGCTGTCATTTATGAATGCTTTTCTCTTCAGGGAACTGAACAGCAGTATCCTATTGATAACAACACATGTGAGAGCCAGCCACAAATGTGCTCCCTCTTAGTGGTTTTTATAAGACCCTGAAATCAATCAAGGATCAATTATTTAAGCACCTACTATGTGCAAGGCACTGTGTTAGATGCTGGGGTTACAAAGAAAGTAAAAGAAAAAAGTTCCTGCCCTCAGGGAGTTTGTCCTCTATCGAGGGAATCAAGCTGCACGTAGCATATGAACATAGCCAGATTGGGCAGCTAGGTGGAGCAGTTGATAGATGCCTGGCCTGGAGTCAGGAAGACCTGAGTTCAAATCCAGCCTCAGACACTTACTAGCTGTGTGGCCCTGGGCAAGTTGTTTAACACTGTCTGCTTCAGTTTCCTCATCTGTAAAATGAGCTGGAGAAGAAAATGGCAAACCACTCCAGTATCGTTGCCAAGAAAAACCCAAATGGGCTCACAGGAGAGTCAGGCATGACTGAAATGACTCAATAACAACATAGGCAGAATAGGTCTGAAATAAAGTGTTGGAGGAGGATGTTCATCCTGCCCCTCCCAAGAGTTAGTGTTGATCAGTCAATCAATAAGCATTTATTAAACACTTACTGTGTGCCAGGTATGGGGCTAATCTCTGGGGATACAAAGGAAGTCAAAAATGGACTCCATCCTCAAGGAGCTCACCTTCTAATTAAGAACACAGCATCAATAATGAGGAGATAGAAGAGCTGAAGATTTTATATTTCATCTCAGAGGCAGTAGGGAGCCACTGACGCTTCTTAAGCAGGATGTCAACACGGTCAGGTCTGTGCTTTTTGCAGGTTATTTGGGTGGCTGTGCAGATGACTGGAAGCTGGTCATCCAGTTAGGAGGCTGATGCTCTGGAGACAGAGGATCTCAATTCAAATCCTGCCTCTGATGTTGACTGCCTGTGTGGCCAGGACCTCTGCATCTCTGCTTCATTATCTGTTCAATGAAGAGGTTGTTCTAGATATCATCTGGGATCTCTTTGAGCTTGAAATCTGTGATTCTAAAGATGGGGATAGAGAGTCAGCCTCAGCCACAGGAAGGGCTGTTTCCAAGCCCTTCTTCTGACACAGTGGCTGTGGGACCATGGGCAAGTCATTTACCCTCTTAGTGCTCTAGGAAACAAATTTGCAGAGGAAATGCCAATCTACATTGGTAGAGGGAGTTTCCTCCCCTGGGAGTTCCCTATCCTAGTGAAATCACTGGTTCAGTCCCAACTTGGCTCCAACCAACCTATCTAGCATGAGTATGCATTATTTATCTTCACTCTCTCTATGTCCAGCCAAACTACCCTCCTTGGTATTCCTCATCCCCAACCCTCCGTCTCCCATCTCCACATCTTTGCATGTCTTCTGTGCCTAGAATGCACTTAGCCCTGCTTCACTTCTGCTTCTTTAATTTTCTTCAAAGCCCAGCTCAAGTGCCGTCATGAAACCCTTCTTTATCCTCTGAGTGGTTAGTGTCTCTTCTTTCAAAGTTACCTTACATTTATTTTACATAGAAATTTCTCATCAGCCTATCAAGTGAGCATTTGTTGAGCACCTGTGTGCCAAGCACAATGCTAGGTGCTAGAGATATAAAGACAAAAACAGCGATGGTCACTGCCTTCAAAGGTCTTACTTTCCAAGGGAGACAAAATGTGTATAAATGCATATAAAGACACATAAATATAAGTATACACAGAATCCACGTAAAGCTTATACAATATAACCTTGGAAAGAAAGACACCAGCAACCTGGGGGTTCAGGTTAGGCCTCATGTAGAAAAAGACACTTGAGCTGGGTCTTGCAGGAAACCAGGAGGTGAAGGTGAGGAGTGAAAACATTTCAGGCCTAGTAACAGTCAGTACAAAGGCTCAAAGGTGGGAGATAAATCTTCACAGGAAGGTGGGTCAGGATGACGGGACTATAGAGAACATGGAGAGGAATGCTGTGTAAGATGTCTGGGAAGGTAGGTTGGGACCAGCTTGGGAAGTTTCTAGTTTATAGTGGAGATAAAAAGGGACTACTGGAATTTTAGAAGGATAATGACATGGTCACACCTGTTTTTGAGGAAAATCACTTTGGTAGCCGTGTGAAGAATGGAGTACAGCGGATAGAGTCTTAAGTCAGGAACACCAAGAAGCTATTACAGTCAATAGTCTGGGCCATGTGGGTGGAGACAATGGGGCATTTGTGAGAGATATTATAGAATCCAAACCAAAATTTGGCAACTGATTGGATAAGTAAAGTAAATGAGAGTAAGGAATTGAAGATAATAATAATAACATCTAACATTTATATAGCACCTACTATGTGCCAGGCACTATGCAATTATGATCTCATTTAATCCTCACAACAACCCTGGGAGGGAAATACTATTTTTATCCCCATTTTGTAGATGAGAAAATTGAGGCACACAGAGGTTTACTGACTTACCCAGGGTAACATAGCTAGTAAGTATCTAAGTCTGGATTTGAACTCAGGTCTTCCTGACTCTAGGACCAGAGCTCTACCCTCAGTACCATGTAACTGCCCCCAATGCTGTGAATCTGAGTGACTGAAAGATGGTGGTGACCTGGACAGAAATAGGGAAGTTCATGTTGTCATCTGTAATGAATGTAATGTCCTTGACTGAGTGGGTGGTTTCACTTTCTAACCTGGCTCTGCATAGTACCAGGTGCCCAGTGGCTGATTTGTAAATGTCTATTGATACATTGATTTTCCAAAGCTACTTGGCTAGTCAGTAGAAGAAAGTGAACTGTTAACTAGGCTTCTAACTGCTTTTTCCTCTTTGTTCTGCTTAAGGTCATTATAATTTTTATTCAAGTCAGACTACCCTGTCTAAGAGAGAGTGTTTCTTTGTAGAAGCTCATTAAAAGTATGCTTTCTTTGCTTGAAATGAGGACAGTCCCAGAGTAAGGTCACCATATTGAGTTTACCACTTGGGAAAGGATAATTATAGCATTATTCATTTACAGGGAAAGAGGTGAGATGGAGAATATCTGTTTGCATTGCTTAGATTTAGGAAGGCTTTAAATAGCACCTGCCTGGAGCAAATTGTTTTGAATTTAGAGTTATCCTGAATTTCCTGCTGCTTTCAACCAAGACATTCAGCAAAGAGAAGGTTGCGATGGAGGAATAAGGAGCCATGAAAAAAGAATGTCACTGAAGAATTGTGGCTACTGCTAAGAGATAAAGGAAAGTTGGAATCCAAAGTTGAGGGTGGAGCTAACCACAAAATGCCTTGCAGCCACGTTAGGGTTTAACGCAGGTTGTGGTAAGCAGTGTTGTGGGGCGGGTAAGGTAATGGGGCAGTACAGAGAGGAATTGGATGGGAAGATGACTGCCATCATGATAGAGAAGGGTGACTAGATGGTGCAGTGGATGGGGAGTGATAGACAAGAAGTCAGGAAAGCCAGCAGCTGAATAATGTTCCACACACTTACTGCGTGACCCCAGGAAAATTGCTTAGTTTCTCTCAGTCTCAGTTTCCATATCTATAAAATGGAGATAATAATAGCACCTATGTTATGAAGTTGTTGTGGGGATCAAATGAGATATAATATATGAAAAGTACTATATAACTATTAGCTATTCCTTTTTTTGGAAGAGAGAGAGAAGCAGTAGAAAAAGCACAAGGTCAGAGGACCAAGGTTCACATTGCAATTCCGCCTCTTGTTACACACGTGTAATCTTGATTCTCTTGGTATAGTGGCTAGAGTCCCAGCCTTAGAGTTTGGATAACCTGAGTTCAAATCCCACTTCAGTCACCTACTAGCTGTGTGACCCTAACCAAGTTAGTTAACCCCTCTCTGCCTCAGTTTCCTCATTTGTAAAATGACAGGGTTGGATTCCGTGGCCTCCAAAGCCCTTTTTTCCAGTGATAAACTCATGATCCTCTGAACTTTGCGTCCTTCTCTGGGCCCCCGTTTCCTGTTCTGTAAAATAAATGGAGTAAACTAGAAGATGTCTGAGGTTCCATCCACCTATAACTCCTCTTGACGTTTTCACCTTAGTGGCCTGATGGGAGTGACAGACAAGCAGAAACTCATCCAGTGTAGAACTCTCAGTTTTTCTCCAAACTGCAAAAATGATTCCTTCTTCTAATTTCTGTCACTCTCTCTTTGTTACAGAGGCTCGCCAGATAGGGATGCAATCGTAAGTATTCAGTAACTCTTCTCAGTAGGCCTGTGTTTGGATGTTTGCTGCAACTTTAAAAAAAATGTGAACCTTATTTTCTTCTGCAATGATACCTTCAACAGATTTTTTAAGACCTTATCTCTAGTTTTTATTTACTATATTAGATACATAAACAGTAAACCCGTTCCTGGTCAAGTGAGTGTTAGGGCATATAACCTTTATGAACCTCACCTAAAAGCCCCAGAGAGTAGTAAGGAAGGGAACTAAGGATGAGCATGTAGGGCCAGAGTCTGGGCAGGTCATATAGGGGATGGCCACCATCCAATGGGTTTTCCTTTCATACCAAATTCTCAAAAGGCTTTAAAGTGTGAGAATACTTTCTGCAGGCCACAGGTGGTTCTGAGAGCCCACAAGACTGAGAGCCTGAATGTAGATACATTTTCTATATTAACATCAAAAGCAGGGGAAGGTTTTGAAACCATTTCTGTCTTGATGGACAGATAGCCTTCAGGGCTAAAACGTGCCTATCCCCGGATTTAAGAACACCTCTCAGGCCTTCCTGGCAGCCAGAATTCAGGCCAGGAGAGGAGTCTGTGGACGCAGGTGTGGATTTGCTCTGCATTGCACTTAAGTGCCTTGTTCCAAAATGATTGCTTTCCAATCTAAATCAGAAGCCAATTTGAAAGGAACAGCTGTTCTAAAGTGGACCCACATCAGGCAGAATGTTATTTCAGAGTGGGAGCTAAAATGAGCCTGAGGGTTTAAAAAAATGTTGAAAAAGTTGTAAAGGCTCTTTTTCTAAAATTGTGCCCACATCGATGGGTTGATTACAGCTGTGGCAGGAATTTTCCCCCACCACATGACGTGAGATACTTAGCCCTTTGCATCCGTGTTGGTCTTGCCGTGAACTGTTAAGAAACAAAATTGTAGCTACTCGACATTGGGTAACACTGTAATCAAGGCTCTATTCAGCAGGGGAAAAAAAAGGCCCAGAAGACCCAACTTCTCCTCAGTCCCTGCTTCTGGCTCAGAGCCTTCTCCTTAACTCTGCTTCAGGTACTCGCCTCCTCTCTCTCTGTGTCTCCTCCCTGTTTCTCTGTCTGGGGTTTCGTGGGTCCTCTCGCCTCCCCTGCGTTCTGTCCTTTGCAAGGCTCTGTTTCATTGCTTCCTTTCCTTGCTGCTTCCAGGGCTGGTTGCTTTCTCTTGCTTCTCCCAGCTTGGCCCTTTTTTCCTCTGCTCTAAAGTGCCATACTCCTTATATTTCAGAACCAGGTTATTCCTGGGCATACTCTTCTCTTTGAGGGACTGCTACTTTAAATTGAAACGGGGGCAGATTTCTATCCCCGAGGTAGGTTGTGGTGTACGAGCCAACAGTGACTGTAAGACAGGATCCCTTTTAGGTCACTATTCCCTTCCAGGTTCCTCATGTACAAAGGTTCAGGGCTCAAGAGTGATTTGTTAGAAATCAGTGGACAAGCATTTATTAAGCACTTACTGTGTGCCAGGCACTGTGTTAAGCACCGAAAATGCAAAGCAAGGTGAAAACAGCCCCGGCCCTCACAGAGCTCATATTTTAATGGGGCATGTAAGTAACTTAATTACTGTTTAAGAAAAGTCAGCCTGGATTCTCAATGGTGAGGGAAGTCAATTCAACTTCAATTAAGAACAACTTTCTTTTTTCTTGAGTATATAGACCGTGAGCTCCTTGAGTGTAGAGACTGTCTTTTGCTTTTCCTTGTATCCCCAGCACTTAACACAGAGCCTAGCACATAGTGGGTACTTAATAAATATTTATCGACTGACTTGTCTGAGCAGGGGAGAAGTTTGGATTCACAAAGTGTCTCTAGAAATGGGACAAAACTCAGTTCTGCTTTTAGGAATAATTAACCAGCGAAAATCATTGGAGAAACCACTCATCAGTTCCTTCCCTCCTTGTCCCCACTCCCATCTCACACATACACATACACACCCTCACCCTTTTCCCATCACCATAAGGATTCAGGAGTCAGCATCTGCAGCTAGTATTTTGTCAAAGCTGAATCAATACCAAACCAAAGTTGTTTATTCTGTATTCAGTTGTTATTGGGGTTTTCCTGATTTCTATTAAGCTCAGATTTATTTCTTTCAAGACTCAAGTCTAGGTAGCCACATCAGTTCACAAGCCTGGTTTAGCCGCTACATGGCTGCCTTAGAAGGTTGGAGCAAGGAATCGGGGTTCAACATAGTGATTCTTGGAGATGACTAGATGCTGGTGTGTTTCTGGGCTAGCTTCTGCCTTAGGTTAGTAATACTTTATTTCATGACTTTAGGAAGCTGTGATCTTATCAACGGGGGAACCATGGCTTCTTCCTTAGCTGACGGCTTAGATGTGTCTTAAAAATGTATCACCAAGTGGCACATCTTGTCCTCAACCTTCTCAAGTGTGGCATGAACGGTCCACGGACAAAACGCAACCAGTCAGTTACCAGCCTTGTGCTGCAAGCTTTTTGAGCTTGCAAGAATCTACCATAGCTTGCACTTGGCTCAGAGACTTCAGAAACACAGGCTCATTTCTGCAGAGCACTCAGGCATCAGAAGAGGGATTCAGGGTGTAGATCTTTTTCTAAGAGATGCTTCTAGTCAGAACTCTAGGGTCTGTCTGTAGAGGTATATATGTGGAGGGTTAGACTTATTTCTTGGTAGGATTATCACAGTGAATCCCTGTGCTCTAATTCAGAAAACCACCCCTACCAGACCAAGACATAAAGAGAAGTTCATTTCTGGCCTGAATGCCGTAGAAGCATAGTCCCTAGAGAGGCTCCTTGGTGTCAGACTGCATGAATGACCGAGGGCTCTGCTTGGCTTATCGTCAATTGGCGTGTGTATCTACAGCTGTCACTACCATCTGTCTTGGTAGCCTTCTCCTCCAACTCAAAGACCATGTCTGCTTAGAATAGAACCAAATGTCCTTTTTCCTGGTGGTTCCTATTTCCAGCTGCCCCCCAAGACTAGTGAGAGAGTGATCACACCTCCAGGGAGAGTCTGTCTGCCAATCCTAAACAGGGTTCAGTTGCTGGGTCCCATCCCTACAGCTGGTGGTCTGTCAGCAGTCAGAATGGAGATAGGAGTGAAGGGAAGAGGGTAGGTGGGGGTCCACTGTGAGGTTACCAGTCAGGAGCTCTTCCCCTTACCAGAGAAATGTCATGTTGGATAAAATCGTCTTTTCTGGTGTGCCTTTGTGTCTGTTTGTCAGTTAAATGCTGGGTAGATAAAGAATCAGGTCCTCGCTGAAAAGTGGACGTGTCTCCTCCTCCTCCTCCTTCTCCTCTTCCTTCCTCCCCCACTGCATGTCTGCTGAATAGAGCCTTGTTACGGCCCCCAGGTCCCCTTTTTGGCTGCAGGGAGCCCTGCCAAGATGGGCAGGCCCTAACATTCGACCTAGCTCTTTTTTGTTTTTCCTTCTATACCGTGTTTGCCAACTCCATGTAATTCTTAATATGTGTCTAAAAGAACAAGCAGATATTTTAACAATTTTTTTCTACGTCAAACCAATCGATTCCAGCATCCCAGCCCACACGAACCACCCTACGATAGCAAAGCAGAGTACGCACGTGAAGGAGGAAAAAAAGTATCGGTAAGGAATCAGATTTTAGCCTCAAGTTTCCAAGGGGTTGTAGAAACAGTGAGTAAAAATCTAGGCTGGGAAACTCATGAAAATATTAATTCTACTCCCTGGGAATGTCTTCAATGTGTCCAAATTGGCCATTGAAAAACCAAGGAAGGGTCAACTCTTATTCTCCACCACGCCCATCCCCTCAGGCTATCAAAAAGCCCATTACATTTTCCAAGGGTTAAACATAAGCATTTTGGGCTCAATGGAGTGCTTTGGATGAAGGATGATAAAAACAACCTGAATCTGGCGCATGTAAGCAAACCTTTAGCAGTAATGGAAATAATACCCTGCAAAAGCAAAGCCAGCATTAATTTGATTCTAAAGGCCTCATCAATGCAGCCTGAACCTAAGGCAGCTGAGTGGTGTGGTGGAAAGACAACTGGACTTGCAATCACAGAGACAGGAGTTCAAATCCAGCCTTAGCCACTTACTAGCTATGCAAGCTGGGCAAGTCAGTTCCACTCTCTCAGCCTCGCTTTTTTCATCTGTAAAATGGAGATAATAATAACTTCTATCTTCCAAAGTAGTTGTGAACATTAAGTGAGATAACACATGTAAAATACTTTGCAAATTGTAAAGCGCTATATAAACACTAGCTGTTGTGGTTGTTAGGCTAAGGAAAACAGTGGGCTTTCCCCAGAATTGAGGACAAGAAAGCTATCCTCAACTCTATTAGTGAAACTCTTCTAGGATTCCTATTCAGCTCATCTGAGTAGAATCCCAACCCAATGGGAGAAATGGTAACGCTTGGAAAGTGCTTTGAGATCCCAAGATAAAACTCAATAAGCTCTGAGCTCTCCACAGGAAGCACAGAAGATATCTCCTGCCGGGACCGAGCATTTTGGAAGGACTATGTAAATAACCTTTTAAAAAGTTAAAATTTGTGTTAGACTTTGCCATTTGGCTGTTTTCAAACTCCATGGGAAGAAAGCTTCTTTCCCTGTGAACATGGGAGTGGAAGAGTTTCCTACCATCCCTCCACAAAATGTATATCCTTCTTCTTTTATCCTCCTTTCATTCCAAATATCCCTTCCCATAATTCCACATGAACCACCTTTGAAACCAATATACTAAATTGTTTCCTTGGTGGCTTCCTTCACCTACAGCATGCAGAGGGAACCGAGCCAAGAGATTCATTTTTCTTGGGTTTTAACCTTGAAATAGGGCTCTACCCAGGCACTAGTACCATCCCTGGCTGGCTGTTTTTTTTTTTTAGCTACAAACCGAAGACTTTCATAGGAATTCACCAAAATTAACAAAAACAAACATTGCCAATTCTTCCAGCAAAGCCAGTTGTGTGTATGCGTGTGTGTGTGTGTGTGTGTGTGTACATACGTGTGTGTAGTGAACACATGTTGCATAACTTAATTTTTCCTGGCTTATTGTTTGTGTTTCGTGTTTGTTTTTAATTAGACCTATTTTTACCCCAAACCCTTTACTCTTACTGGGTTTTGTTTCTCATCCTCTTTGTTAGTTTCCATTGAAACTGTGAAATGTCTCTTTTAGCCCAGACCTGACCAAATCAAGACCTATGGATGCTGATAAGACTCCGGGTTTGTGAGCAGAAAAGAGAATTTACTGTTTACCATGGCCCCAAAATGGGAGCCAAGTTGGGTTTGGGAAGGAGACAGGATTATCCTGGAAACCAACTCTTCCTGGTAGCCCTGAGTCTCACTGGCATACCTGATCTTTGGTTCTCAGAGAATTATACACACTCAGGAACTCTACAGCCACTACAGAGAAAAACACTGGGCTAGCGCAAGCCTGGCACAGTCAGTCTCTCGAGGGTGGAACCATGAGTCTGGTCAAAAGTTCTCTGGAGCCAAATATGAATTTTCCAGAGTTTTCCAACTGGGAATATTTTACTTTATTTTCCATGATAATAAACAATAACTTAAACATCCCATTAATTACATAAGGTGTCTGAGTTTCACCAACTCTGGCAGATCGTGATGTCGGGAAACATGGTATACCGGATTTAGATTGAAAGGACCTGGGTTCAAATCCCATCTCTTCTACTTACTTCCTGTGGGACTTTAGACAACTCATTCAACTTCACTTTCCTCATCTGTGAATTATGGAAACTGGCCTTTAGTTCCCTTCCAGATCTGCTCATTATATTATCCTTTAATCCAATGACCTCACAGCCCATTAGGTTCTATGTCTGCCCAAGAACCCTCCTGGATATGGTAGTGGATGGAGATGACCGCTTCTCTTTGGGGCTAACCTATGGTCCCCTAGACAGGCATGAAGGGCCTTTCTGCCATCCACCCATCTGTCAGGCTCTATGGCAGCTGCACATTTTGTTGTCCCCAAGAGGTTGAGTGGCCCTTGTTTAATGAGTGCAAAGTACGAGGGCTGATCCTCCAACCTTGGTTCTCGTGCTTCCCAGCTTGGCTAGGGTGGCCTGTCATTGCTCTGTGTCCAAGAATGTAGCTCCCTTGTTGAATGTCCTTCTCCTTTTGTGCCTGTGTGATGCTCTCATGGGAAACAGGGGAGTTTTACGATTTCCATTTTGATACCTTCCCCATCATGTCCGAGTGATTCTTCTGGCTATATAAGGGATGCCCTGGAAGGCCCAGGAAGAAACTCCAAGACTTTCCCAGGCATAGTGAAGTTGCCATGTTGCCAGCTTTAGATCCTATGCCCATTAATGGAGGAAAAGGGACACCCGGAAAGTAGAAAGACAGAGTTAATCCCCAAATCCCACTTTCATTGATCCATTTTATTGTCTTCCCCCACCAAACTTGTACCAGAGCAACTAGTAAGCAACAGGATAGAATGGTTTAAGCTAGTGTATTGTAAAGAGCTCAAAAGTGTTTGATAATAAGTGTTAGACATTATTATTTCTTCTCCTACCCTTTGACAAAGGTCCAAATCAATAGTGAAAAAGTCAAAAGATCAAAACTAATTGATAATTCACTGTAAAACAAGTTGAAAACTTAGGTCAGAGCCCCCATTTTGAAAAAAATGAACAGATGTTTGTGACCCACTGCTGTTATATTTAGAACGCTAGATTCCGTTTCTCAGAGCTGCTCATTTGACCACACTTGAATCAAGATTGCACAGATGTGTCTGAGTAGCCCTCCTGATGTTAGAATAGCCCAGACCTTTTGAGAATGGAGCATTTTTTTTAAATCCACCATTGTTAGCATCCACTTATTCAGTGTCATGGTCAGCTGACCTTGCCATTCAGCACTACACGATTCCTCGGTCAGCGTCACCTGAACCTGTCTTTCCCGTGCTGGCTTTTAATAACTCATGCCAAGTGCAGATGAGACTTTATTGTTTGTTCCCATTTTCCATTCAAGTGCATCTCTTCTAACACCGTTTTCCCTATTTGTTACAGAAGAAAAGCAATGGCGCCCCGAATGGATTTTATGCAGAGATTGACTGGGAAAGATATGTGAGTATCCAAAGGTTCATTATCTTGTCACAGAGAGATTGCCCAGGAGAGTAGCTTTTGTATGCTGGCATTTGGGTTCAGGTATTAATGAAAAACTATCTGTCCCACCTGGAGGAGACTGGTCTGGGGTGCTGGCACATGGGAGGCCCCTTTATCTAGGGCCTGGGAGAAGTGGAGTTTAGGCCTGACTCTACTAGTAACCAGCTGGGTGACTAAAGAGAATTCACTTTACCTTTCCAGGGCTCCACTTTCTCATTTTCAAAATGGGAGGTGCACAGGACTTGTTAGCATGAAGGGAGACAAAAACCATAGAGTGTGTAATGTGGAAGGGCTCAGGAGGGATCAGTTGGTCCAGTTCCCATCCTTTTGCAGAGAAGGCAACTGAGGGCTATTCCACATGAGGAATACGTGACACTTTGAAAATGTCAAGGTAAAAAAAAAGAAAAGAAAATGTCAAGGTATCATGGAAACAAATTAAACCACCAGTTATGGAGTTCAGAGAATCATAGATTTAGTCACAAGGGATCTTGGAGGTCATCAAGTCTACCCCATTCATTTTACAGATGAGGAAACTGAGTCTCTGAGAGGTTTAGTGAGTTGTCCAGGGTCACACATCTAATAAGGTCTGAGGTGGGATTTGAGCCTAGATTAGCCCATCTCCAAGGGCAGTGCTGTCTCTCCTACTTAGCCCATCCTTTGATGACAGTTATGAACCATCTCATATTTGATGAGTGTCAACTTGGTGTCCTGGCCCTGGCTTTAAATCCCACCGTAACTGACAACTTGCTGTATAACCCTTGGGTAAGTCACTTGGGCAAGTCTCAGAACCTCAGTTTCCTTATCTGAAAAAGGCAAGTATAACAGCCTTAGTGCCTACATCACAAGGTTGTTGAGATTTTGGTGTACAGACTCTGCGAAAAGCACTTTGCAGAGTCTTAAGTCACATGTCAGCGTCCCATTCTGTTATCCATCTGCCTTTGGAGTTGACCACACCAATCAAACTACAGGTTCACAAAGAGTACAGGCTTTGCTGTTCACCTCTCTCTTTTTTCTGGGTCTCCTAAGAAGATGGTGAGAACTGGAACTCAGAGAGGGCAAGCGATTTTTCTCAGGTCATACAGACAATAAGACTTTTGTGACTTTTGTATAGAACTTTAAGATTCATAAAATACTTTACTTCATCTTATCTGATCTTTACAACAACCCTAGGCGGAGGTAAGTGGTTGCAGGTCTTCTTATCCCCATCTTATAGATGAGCCAAGGGAAGGGAAATGGTTCACCAGCGGTCACACAGGTGGCAGGGTTCAAACCCTTACCACTCCTGACTCCCAGTCCAGGGTTCTCAAGGGCCATGCTGTTTCAGAAAGCAATGACTGGAGCTGAGAATTAAACCATCGTATCCTAGCTCTGAAAAGGAGAGGTCTCTGAGGTCACCTGGCACCCTCATTTTACTGATGAGGAAATTGAGGGAAGTCACCCAGGTAAGAAGTGGCAGGAGTGGGATTTGAATCCAGGGCTTTCAGTGATTACAGTCTATGAGCTTATTCCACATTCTCATCTCATCTGACTTCCTCCAAAATGTCTCCATCAGAGCTTGCTTTGTGGAGGTGGCACAGCTTGAGCTGACTCATGAGGGGAAAGTCCTGGTAGTGTGGCCTCCCTCTGCCCTTGAATGCTAGCAGTAATAAGCACACACCAGTCAGTCTGCTCATTCCCTCATCCCTATTGCGATTTGGACCAAGGCTCTCATAGTGCACTGACCAGGGTCAGCCCAGCTCCCACGTCACATAAGGATTCTGTAGGGTGTACCAGGTAAACAGTCAGCAAATTCGGTTCCACAAAATGAATGATTTTTTTTAATTAAGCAATTGTCATGTGCCAAGCACTGTGCTATGTGCTAGGGATATAAATGCAAAAAGTTGTTGCCCTCAATGAGTTTACATTCTAATTGAGGCAGAGAATACATAAAGAGAAATGGTGGCCAGGAAGAGGCATTTTGTTTGGAAAGTTACAGCCATAGGGGAATAAATAGGCATGGCCTTTCCAAAAGCAATAGGCAAGTTGATTCAATTATAGTTCTGGAACCAGAAGGGGGAGAAGAGTTCTAGAGGTAGGCACATATGTGGTCGTGTGGTAGCTGGGGAGGAGATGGATACCCTAGATGACCAGAGAATAGCGTGGCCAAAGCTTGGACCCAGATGCAATATTGTGCTCCTACTCTGACACCTGGCATGTAGAAGTCTCTGAGTTCTTGAAAACCATGCTAATGGAGGTCAAACTCTGCTAAGTCCTACTAAGTGGAGAAGCTGTGAGGAGGTTAGGGTTGGAAAGTATGATGGCTCCGGGACCAGCTTAGCTAAAAATGGTTTGCCACCATTTTGGGTTTGGGGGTGTGATTTTTTTTTGGTCATAGCAAACCATGAAGAGAGTGAAAGACCTATGGGTTCATGGGTATAGGAAGCTGCTAGAGTGGAAACTCCATCTACTGATGCATATCAACAATTCATCTTTAGAGACTTAGAGAGTTGCCTGGAGCACTAAGAAATTGCCTGGGGTCACAGAGCCAGAATGTGTCAAAGGCAAAACTTGAATTCAAGTCTTCTTAATTCCAAAACTAAGTTTCTATCCATGACATAGAAGGGGTAAGGGAGAGAGACAGAGACAGAGAGAGAGAGGGAGGAGGAGGAAGAAGAGGAAGAGAACAAAGAAGAGGAGGAGGAAAGGAAGGAAGGAATGAGGAGAAAGGAAGGAAGAAAAGAAGAAAAGAAAGGTGGGAAGAAAGGAGGAAAGAAGAAAGGGAGGGAGGGAAGGAAAGAAGGAAGGAAGGAAGGAAGGAAGGAAGGAAGGAAGGAAAAAAAAAGTTTTTACTGTACCCTCTTACTTATTCATCTCTTGCAGAATCAGATTGAATCCTGATGGAGGTGGAGAGAAGCCTCCCTTAATCCTATGTTTCTTATTGCTGTGGTTTAGAGCGGGGTGCATGGCAGCTACCACAGTCATCCTCTACTCATTAGATAGTCTTAAATGACAGGTTCCTTCAGAGTGGGAAACATACCATATGTATCTTTGTTTCCCATGCCTAGCAAAGGGCCTTGCCCATCAAAGTCATTTAGTAAATGTTAATTTAAGTGAAACATAAAGGAACCAGTGTTTGGCTTTATTTTCCTCTTCTAATTAGATGCACTACTGAGGTTATGTGTCCTTGGAAACAAAGACTCCATGAACTCCAAAGGACCTTAGAGACCGTTAAGTCCTTTCCACGGTTCATCTCCCTTGGACAATAAGTGCTTTCTAACAGGCATTTCTTCATCCTAAACTTATAGTTATCACATTATTTCTTGTCCTGTCCCGGGTCAATGTGACTTCAAAGTGGATTCAACCTCATGTGCCGGGATTCTTCCTGCTTCCCAGCCTCTCTTTCTGCAACTCCTCAAGTGCCCCTTGTCCCTTTTTAGTCACCTCAAGCCTCCCTTCCTAACACCTTCCTGAATGCTCTCCCCTCCCCCCTTCTGTCTTGTGGATAGATGTCCTTCCTTGATGTAGAGTGCTTTCCTTACTGAAATGACTTTCTGCTACTACACATATACTTGGGTTTCTTTCTCTGTGTACATTTTGTATCATCCCTAGCATAACACAGGCTCCTTGACGATGAACTCTATGGTAATAGTAGTGCCTACCTCCCAGGGTGGTTGTAAAGATCAAATAAGATAATATCTATAAAGTGTTTAGCATAAAGCCTGGCACATATTAAGTTCTACATAAATATTAGCTATTATTACTATTACAAAGTAGGTGCTTAATAAGTATGTAGTAAACCTGTTCAATGACTACCCTTGGCCATCAAGCCTCCTCTCTCACATTGTGCCTGACAGTCAATAAAGATTTTTTTTATTTTATTTTAGACTCAGTAAACATTTATTAAGCACCTGCAGTGTACCAGAGTGACTGAATCTCCTTGGTTCTAAGGTGGATCCACCTTGTGTTCAGTTCTACTCAACAGTAAACAGCAATAGAGTGATATTGGAGTATACAGGGTACACAGTTTTCCACTTGGTTTCATTTCACCAAGAATGTACTTTGTTATTCTTCTCGTTATCACTGTGTCAATGAGACAAGGGTCCAAATTCAGTATTATTTATAAACCCGACAACATGCTGTCACTTGGTAAATGTACTTTACGCTTCCACTCTCCTCTTCCTGCAAAGTTACCTGTGCTTAGGATAAGAGAGATGTGATCATCCTTGTAAACACCCTTAGAAGAGAGGATGTAAACAGGAGAAATCAGTGTGGAGTGTCATTTGGACTTGGGATGTGTTTGTATTTTGCAGAACTCTCCTGAGCTCGATGAAGAAGGCTACAGCATCAGACCAGAAGAACCCGGCTATATCCTTGCTTTCTGACTGCTCCCACTTTAGTTCTCTCTCAATAAATTAGGGGATACAGGGGTGGGGAACCTGCAGCCTTGAAGATTTGTTCTGTAAAACTTGGACTCAGTCAAAGGGCCACATTTGAGGATCTAGAGGGCCACATGTGGCCTCGAGGTCACAGGTTCCCCACCCCTGGTTCTAGGCTTTTACCAAGTTGCTAAAATAATTCTACCTTCATCTAAAGTACCAATGCTTAGCATGTGCCCAGCACATAGTAAGAGTTTAAAAGATGCTCGTTGACTTGACCTGATGACACCTAGTAGGACAGCTTGGCACTTCATGAGTAGGTATGTGCCTTCTTCTATTCATAGAAAAGAGAATTCGCAGAGGAAAAGGGTGTGCCAAAAAACAATTGTGTGAAACTCCCATCTTGGCCCTTCTGCTAGAAACAGCTGCTGTCAGATTGTTTATGACTGTCAGGAAGAGCTTCCCTAGCGCGTCCTCCCTGCACACTTGGGCACTGAGCAGGCAGCCTCGTCTATAAGGGCACCTAGTAAGCACTCTTGCTCTTTTGGTACAGTCGGGCAGCCCTGTGTCTGTGCGTGATCACCATGAGACCAAACAAGTGTTAAATGAACAGAAGGAAATCATATGGCCACCTGAAATCCACTGTCCTTACTTCCCTGATACAGTGAGAGGGAATAAATTGATTATAGGGATAGGAATGTGGACTGGCCCTGGGACATCACTGATAAAGGGAATTCCCAGATGAGGAAACTTGGCCACCACCTTCTTTGTGATTTTGAATGTTAAGAAGTCAGTTTGGGCGCTAAGAGACCAAGGGCTTGGCCAGGGTCTCACAGCCAGAATGTGTTTGTGGTGGGCCCAAGTCTTCCTGGCTTGGAGAGCAGCTCTCCCTCCGTCCCTGTGCCACCTCTGCTGGGCGACAGCAGCAGCATGCAGGTAGTGCTGCAAGGTTGGCAGAACGCTTGCCATGCGTTGTCTCATTCGGTCCTGATAATAGCTCCACAAGGTAAGCGTCACTATCATCCTACTGGATCATCGCTGCACACAGCACAGGGCCGTGTTATCTTTAACTGTGATCTACCTACCAAAGGAAAGCGCTTTTATTCTTCAAGTGAATCAGAAGAGGAGGAAGAATCACACAAGAAGTTTAATATTAAAATTAAACCTTTGCAATCGAAAGACGTCCTCAAGAGCGCAGCTACCGTCGACGAGCTGAAGGCGTCTATAGGCAACATTGCTCTTTCTCCATCACCAGTGGTGAGTGTCCCTGCCCTCTGGCACCCCTCCCCAGGTTGGGATAAAGTGGAAAGGGCCCTTGGATGGTCCACAGGTCTTTGTTTTAATGTTTCTAGGAAGTTCTTAAGGTTGGGGGGGTATGGAGGGTATGTAATGTATAGTGAGTGTGGGAGGGGGCTGATGTGTGGTGTGTCTGTAGTAGGTGTGATGTGTGGTGTGAGTGATATGTGTGGTATGTGTGTGTAGTGTTTGTGATATGTATGTGATGTGTGTGGTATATAGCGTGTGTGACATGTGATATGCGGTATGACGTATGGTATGTGTAATATGTGTGTGATGGGTGATATGTATATGTGGGTATGTGGTGTGTCATTTCTAGGGTGTATGTATAATATGTGGCATGTGAGATATGTAGGGGTATATGTGTATGATATGTGGTAGGTACATGATGTATATGTATGTGTGTGTATGCGTGCGCACACGCGTGCATGTGTGGTATGTGGTATGGGGGTTTTGATCTGAGATATAAACATCAGTCACTTTTAACATGATTCTAGTTTTCAACCCAAGGTATTTGTTAGTTTTAGGGGTTTTTTTTAAGAACTCAGTGGATATGAGCACCATCCCTGCCCCTGGGAGACCTGTTGTGGGGAAGGACGGATTGGGTAAAAAGACTTCCTTGGTGGTTTCCTGGGGGTGCTAAAATAGCAGCAAGAATATTCTACATGCTAGACGTGCTTTTGAACCAATATTTGCCATTAATGGCCCAAGGAAACTCCCACCCTTTCCACTCTATTTTTTCTTGTCTCTTTTTTTTCAACCACTTCCTAAATTTTCTTTCTGCAATATTAAACTAAAAACATCTTGGGGTGGCAGTGGGGGTGGGATAAGAAAGCCAAGGAAACATTTAATTTATAAAAACTTTTTTTAATCTCTATTTCTGTCCACCAAAGTAAAATGGTATGTGTCCCCTCATCAGAATTGGTTATGCATCAGCAATAGAGTCCCAAAGATTTGACTTTCTCTAATATTTTATTGTTATTATTATATTTATGTTCCCCTCATTACCATCCAGCATCAAGCCTTCTCTTGCTTGTTTTGTAGCCTAGGACCCTTCCCTTAGTCCCCTTCCCTGCCAGATACTCTGAAGTCACTTGTTTCCATGACCAGCCTGTATACTTCCCATAATGTTGACTTTCTGCTACCTATGTTGTTGCTGACGGGCTAAGCTCCTGTGTACTGTACCAGCAGCATTTTGTACTAATTTCTAAGAGGAGATAAGTAAAGCTCCCCATTGTTTTCTTCTAAAAATGACCTAAAGTGGAGATAGATAGCCTTCTAACATGTTCCAGGCCGATTGATAGGGACGTGTCCAAGCTCTCATGGAGGATGGGGACTAATTCTAACCTGTCCTTGGAAAATTTTGTCCTTGTCTTCCGTGGATGAGGCATATTCATAAAGACCATCTTATACATGGCTTGCAAAATCCATTGATCACATCACCTAATTACCATTTCTGCCAGCATGAATGGTGGTCTAAGGTCTAGGTGGTCTAAGCCTCTGATTTGACTCACTTTGTGCTACAGAACAGAACCCAGGTGACATGAAGGAATAATTTCTGATTTCAGTTCATGTAAGAGTCATGCTGTCAATGACTTCTGATTGGAGATATTTACCTTTTAAAGGTCTTAACCAGAGCATATTCTAGAGTAATTTTCTTTCTTAATAGTTTCTACATGAGCATTTAAAACGTTGGGGCAAATGGTTGCAATGAGTTTTCTATTCCACTTGCCTTAGTTTACGATGACCCCAAATGGGCACTGAAGTGTTAACAAGAAAACAGGAAATGAACCAGGTAGCCCAATGGACATTTCTGCCCCTGGTGACTGGGATAAAAGAAGATAGCATCCTTGTGAAGCAGAAGCAGTTGTCTCTCTGGATAAGAGCTTCCTTCTAAAAATAGGAGGCCATAACTGAGACTGTAGCTTTAGTTCTTGAAATCTGTGACTTTCTTTAGAATAAATGGCATGGAATGGTAGGAGGAGAAGTGGCTCGGAGGGTCAGAGGCTCTGGGCTTAAATTCTAATTCCATCATTTTGTGCAATCTTAGGCAAATCACAACCTCTGTGGGCCTCAGTTTCCTTATCTGTAAAATGAGGGGTTGAGCCAGATGGTTTCTAAAGTCCCTTTCCAGCTCCAGATATGTGGGCCTTTATATAAATGATAACTGATGTTTGTGTGGTGAAAGAGCCCAAGGTAATCAAATGACGGTGAAGTCATGAACCCAAGGATTCTGGCTTGCTGTTTGACTTCATGAGAAATAGCAGAAATAATTTCAATAAAACTCCAGTTGCTTCTGATGATGTAAAGAGAAGTGGAAAGATCAGCATGGTCTTTAGCTACCAAATTACAAGAGAAATAGCCAACTACCACAAAGTTATGTATCTTAGGATGGATCACAGGACATTTTCCCCTGTCACAAAAGCTGCTGTATTTGCATTTAATGGAAATGTAGCACCTGCTAGGAGGGGCAGAATTGTCAAGCTAGATATATAAATAGCTTAAACTGAGTGTCTGATTCCTGGCTCTTTTATTATGGATTATAGAGAGATTTTCACTTAGGAGCTTTTGAATTGATTTGATAACTCAACTTTGGGACACTCATTTGTGGGGTAGGTCTTTGGTTTCCATTATCACACTTGGGCTTTTTGATTTGAATAGCTGCCTACATCCGGTGAATGCCAAGGCATAATCAAGCAGAGGTCAGCTTGTTATTTCTGTTGTCAAGGGAAAAGTTAGATAGAGGAATCACTCTTTTCTGGGTTCTAAGAGATGAAGGGGCTTTGAGGCCATATTAGAAATTGTGTTTGAGATGTAGGGTTCTCCCCTATGGGTCCTAGCTTTGGATCTAAGATTCAGAGACCCTGAATTCCACTTTCTAAAGTGTCCCAGAATGCAGCATGGTACAGGAGAATGATGAGGACCAGTGTTCAAATGCTACCTCTGACCTGGAGAAGTCACAATCTCCATGGGGCTCAGTTTCCTCATCTGTAAAATGAGAGGGTTGGACCTTTGAAGTACCTTCCAGCTTGAAATCCCAAATTACTTGGTAGGGTTGTAGAACTTTTTAAAAACTGGAATGTACCTAAGAGATCACAGTATCCCAGGACCAGGGCCATCCATTTCAACCCTCTCATTTAACAAACAAGGAAAGTGAAAAAGGTAATTCACAATGCATGGTGTGGGGTACCCTTCTGTGGAGGTCTTCAACAAGAGGCAAGTTGTCTTCTTGGTTTGAAGGGCTTCCTTCTAAGAATGAGTTTGACCAGATGCGGAATTTTGCTGAGGCTCCTGGTGATGGACTCAAAGTCAGGAAGACCTGTGATCAAACACTTGCTGCCTGTGTGAGCCTAGGCCAGTCACTTCTAGCCTCAGTTTCCTTTTAGCTTGCAACCTATGATTTTGTGAAATCTGTGAAATCTGTGATTCCATTATTTTTAATCATAGCTTTCTTGTTTCTAAATGTTTTTACAGAGATTAGCTAATTTGGTAAATAGAATAGCTTCCATTCCTGAACAAGTGAGTGAATGAATGAATAAATTTAAAAAAAACATTTATTAAGTGCTTACAGTGTGCCAAGCACTATGCTAAGTGCTGGAGATACAAACAGAAAAAAGGAAGACGGTTACTGCTCCCATTCTAATTGGAGAGACCACACAGAGACATCCTTAGGTTAAGTCAACAGATGAGATGATTTTGCAGGGAGTCTGCAGGTCCCAGGAGCAGAGCACATGGGAAGGCCCACAGGGCCTTAGGGGAGGGAGTAGCAAGGACCCTGGGAAGGCTTAGTGATCCTCTATCTCACCAAGAGAAATAGAGTTGGTGAATCCCACCTCAACCAAGCTATGTGAGCATTCCAGCAGCCTGCTTCTGGCTCCAGGAGATGAAGTGAGGAGACAAGGTGGAGAAGATACTCCTGCTTCCCCGTGGTGAAAGGTCTTCCTTCCCTCCCAGAGATAAGGAGAGACAGAGGTGAGGGGACACAGCATCCTAGGCTTGGGGGCAGTCAGAGCCAGGGGACTGAGTCTGGAGTTGGAGTGTCAAATTTGAGGAACAGCAGGTGGGCCGCTACTGCTAAAATGTAAAGTGTAAGACAGCCGAAGGGTTAGGAAAGGGTTGGATTATGAAGAACTGTAAATGACTTTAAATATATGACTTGATATTTGGTCCCAGATGTAATAGGAAGCTGCTGGGGCTTGTCGAGCATGGGGCAACATGATCAAACCTCTGATTTAGGGGGAAAAAATCCCTTGGGCAGTGTATATCCAGGCAGGCAGACACACACACACACACACACACACACACACACACACACACACACACACACACACACATATATCTGGAGATATGGATAAACAAGTCTATTATAGTCTAGTCTCTAGAGGCAGCCAGGTGGTGCAGTACATACAACATCTTACCTGGAATCCAGAAGGTCTGAATTCAAATATGGCCTCAGACACTGTCTAAGTGTGTGACCCCAGGCAAGTCACTTAACCTCTTGTCTATCTCAGTTTCCCCACATGTAAAATAGGGATAATAATATCACCTACCTTTGTTGTAAGGATCATCAAATGAGGTAATATTTGCAAAACCCTTTGCAAACTTTAGAATGCTTATAAATGCAAGATCTTATTAAATTAAAAGCTTAATGCCAGGTATCCCCATGACAGTTTGGTTCCATATTAGAGTATCCAGTGATATGTTTTGACCAAAAAAAGAAAAAACTCCCACAAAGTTAACTGAGTCAGTTGTGTTCAGGGGTAATTTCCTCCTTTCCACTAGCATGTTCAGAAGTGATTTAATTTAAACCCAGGGAATAAAGGGAGCTTAGACATCTGTGTCCCTGATTCCTCATTGCTCACTCATGGTATTTGGGCAATAACCTAAAGAATGAAGTCAATGAAAATTCTTTGAGATAATGGTAATTGTTCTCTATCTTCAAAATGAGAGCTCAAGAACAA